CTATGTGGCGCAAGCTAAACGGTGCAGGCTATGCGGTGTGAGCTATGTGGTGCGAGCTGTGCGTTGCAAGCAATGTGGTCGAATTTTTGCGCTGCAAGCTGTGTTGTGAACGCCCATGCGCTGTTAGGGAACGATTTAAATGTTTCGGGATACACGCCGCTACCCGCCTGGGCCTCCCCCCCGGTCATGGTTACGATTCGCGTCGGCGACGTCTGGGAATGTTTCGGACTTGCCAGACCAACAAAAAATCTAGTAGATGATATCTGTTGGGATCTGCTACGGCAGAGAGCGAGCGCGACAGCCGATACATATGCGAACGCCTGCGATGGATAGGCACGGATGGCTATAGCGCAGCGAATGGGACTGTTGAGAATGAGGTGTCTTCTTATCCTCTCCCGTCCCTCCTCCGTGTCCACCTCCTCACCCTCCTCCTCTCGTCGTCGTCGCCGCCCTCCTCATTACAGAAGGGTCTCGCGCGAGAATGGCAGAGCGAGGCAGGGAACCGACAAGAGGAGGCGAGGCAGGCAAACGCAGGGCGAAACCACCCGCTTGACTCCACGTTTGTCGACTCGTGCTTTGGGAGGAGTCAGGGCGCCCCTTGGCCCGATGGGGGCAAGTGGCCTCGTCGTCGGCGTCCTCCCCGCCCCTTTCCTCGCAATGTCCCCCTCGTCGCCCTCCTCTTGCCTGCGCTGCCAGGCGCTTCACTTCACAGCGGCGTGCGCACCACGTTGCTGGGGCGCACAAGGGGGCGCGCGGAACGGCTCCAGCCAGTGGGGTGCTCGCGGGCCATGTCCAAGTCAACCTTATCAACAACGCAATGCGTCCTTTCTCCTGTGTGATCCGATTACGGCCGAGATGATCAGGCCGGGTGTCTTAACAAATTCAGGAGGCTCCGAACACAAGTGGTTGGCATCACGCACGGAACATGCGGAGGCAGGCTGCTGGACACACGTGCGGATGGCTGGCGTATTTGGCCACAAGAGGGCCGAACCCTGAAAAAATGCGGATTTGGCCACCAGTGGACAATATGTGTATCCAGCTCTCGCCCAAGCTGGCCACGTCATGCTCGCACAGCTTGCTCGTAAGACACGCGCAGGAGAAAGGTCACGCTGTGTCGGGTCCGAGTTCCCCACCGGGGCATGGGGTGCAAAGCAGGAGCCGCCTGGGCAGAGGCAGAGCGCGCGCCTGCGAGCACCACTGTGGCCCGCGAGCACCTCGACGTGCTTGGCGAGGAACACCTGCAGCACGAGAATAATGAGAGGAGGGGAGGAGGAGGACTAGTTGGACGATTTGACGAAGCACTGGTCATGTGCGGGGGGGAGGAGGAGGAGGAGGAGGAGGAGGAGGAGGAGGAGGAGGAGGAGGAGGAGGAGGAGGAGGAGGAGGAGGAGGAGGAGGAGGAGGAGGGGGAAGAGGAGGAGGAGTTGGAGGAGGAGGAGGAGGGGGAGGACGACGACGACGACGACGAGATGGGCACCAACACCAACACTGGAAGTTGCCTCCACAGGGGGAAGTGGATCCTGGATTTCGGTGTTGGTGGTAATAGTTCGGCCACCTTGGAAGCCAGAATATTACCACCATCACTGAGATCGGGATCGTCTTCCCTCGGTGGAGGCGCACCGCCGATATTGGTGCTGGTGTCAACCTCTAGGCCTGCGATATGTGGTGAAAGTTTGGGCTGTGCCGTGTGCGTGCTGCACGCTGTGCGGCGCAAGCTATGCAGTGCAACGCCTGCGATGCAAGCTGCGGCGGGCGGCCACGGGCGGCCACGGCATGGCCACGGGCGGCCACGGGGCGGCCAGCAAGCAAATCCTCGGGTTACCCACCCAATTCTCGGGCAAAACAAGTCAGACCCTGTATGCAGTGCAAGCACGTGTTGGTGATGCTATAGTGTTGTGTATACGAGCATGTGTATATGAGATGACTAGCAAAGTGGATTAGCATGTGCATGCAAGTGTCTAGATAATTAGATATATGTGTATGTGTATGTATGTATGTGTGTATATATATAGGTATGTGTCTACGTGAATGCATGCGTGTATGTGTGTAAACGTAGATGTGTATGTATGTGGTTGTGTATATGTATATGTATAGATGCGCATACGTGCATCACATATATGTACATGCGTATATGTGCATTATGTGTACACGTGTTATATTGGATATGTGCATGTACATATACGTGTACATGCATATGCATGTGTGTATATGGATGTGCATATGTGTGTAAACGTACGTGTGTGTACATGTGTATGTATGCATGCATGTCTTTAGATATGTATGTTTGTCTGTCTGCATGTATGCATGTACGTGTGTATCGGAGCTTGGGGGCGAGTTTGAGGTGACACGGAGATCCCCACTGGTAAATCGGTGTCGGTTTCGTGTTCGTGTCGTGCGTCCGGGCGAAGCATAGCTGCGTGGGCGCGCGGGAGGAATGAATCCGTCGCGGCTAGGACGAAACTGAACCCAATGACTCTACGCCCCAGGATTGGCTTGCGGTGGTTCGGGGGTGTCCCGCCTGTGCCCCATGGTGTCCCGTAATGTCCCGTGGCGCGGTGTCCCGTGGTATCCCGTGGTTTCCGTGGTGTCCCATGGTGCCCCGTGCTTTCCCGAAACGCAGTGTCCCGTGGTGTCCCGTGGTGTCCTGTGCTGTCCCGTGGTGTCCCCCGACGTCGATTGTGAGCTCGATAGTGAGATCGATAATGAACTCGCTAACGGGATCGATATGCAAATCGGTAATGCGATCGATAGTGAGGTCGATTGTGAGAACGGTAGATAGTGGTATCGATAGATAGAGGGAGATCGATACTGATATCAATCGGCATATGGACAAGTGAGACTGAGGGATAAACGGCCAAACGACATTTCCGTGGTGCCCAAGTGGTTTCCCCCGCAACTGGTCCAACCCCAATCGCACACCTAAAGGTGAACTCCCCCCTCACACAACCTCCTTATCCCTAAGGGCGGTCGTGTAGGTGTATACGATGCATTCCCCAAACAGCGTCTGCACGCAGAGGCTCTTCATTGCACGACGGAAGATTTGAATGGATGTCCTGAGGGTCCGCCACGCTCCAACGTGTTACCGCTCGGGGATCTTCTGACCCGGGTCAATCCAGACCCGGGTCAGCAGGAAACCAAAAACTGCAATGCAAGAAAAAAAACTGCAACGCAGATCTTCGCAAACCCGGGTCAGCCAATACGCGCGGCCGCCTCGCGGCCATGAGCGGCTCGCTAACCCGGGTCAGCCAGGGGGGGTCTTCGCAGGATCCTGCAGGATCCGGTGCCCTGGCTGACCCCCGTTTGCATTGACCCCCGTCTCAAGGCTCCCGAACCGCCCCGTTGCCGCCCTTTGCTGGTGGTGAGGGTCCCAAGGGGTTCGCCACTTTCTGGCCTGCTGGTGCCCGTCGCAGGCCGCTGCCGCCCGTGGGGGTCCCGCGGAGGCCCGAAGTGCTCCTGCCAGCTGCCGCCCGTGGCCACCCTGCGGGGGTGTCCAAAGGATTCGCCACGTTGCCAGCCATTGCAACCCACTGCCGTCTTCGAAGGGGCCCCAGGACACACAAACAAATACACACAAATAAAATGACTCCCCATATTTTCCCATATGTTTGGGGTTTTCGTCTTCCCCCCCCCCCACTTCCCATATTTCCCCGTATTTTCCCAGGAGTGGACGATTAATTGTGTCTGTGTGTCTTTTCCCTTCCTGAGTATTTGGGGTTGTCCCGAGGATTCGGCCTGTTCTGGCCAGTTGCCGCGCGTTGCCAGCCGTTGTCACATGTGGGAGTGTTCTGAGGATGCAGACTTACCCGTCGAAAAGCGGCCGCAAACACGCTTGCGCATCACATGCCTTACACATCAGCATTGCCATCATCTGCTGTTTGGGGTCCACGCTGGCAAGCATCAATTGCACGGGTGCGTCAGCCAGAGCGGACCCTTTACCGTGTGATCTAGAAAACTGCGTGGTGCAATCTACGCGGTGCATTCACTTGTGGAACTCGCAGATGTCAACTGCACTGCTCGCGCAATCATCCCACCCACACACCCGCAATTTATTTCGCTAAAGCAAAACACATGCAGCGCCGATTGCGATGACAGCTTGGTGTTGGCTGGTGCATCTCTGCGGCCGCGCTAGCCGCTAGCCCGCGCATGCTCGCGCGTGCAGCAGCCAGCTACTGCGACTCAGCCATAGCGGCCGCGGTGGCGCTGACTTCTGGGCACTTCCCAGCGGGCGTTTCAGTGCGAGTCGGCCACTTGGGCGGGCGCAGCATCATGGCAACATCGACAACAGTAGACACGATGATGATACTAGCGACGTTAGTGACGATGATGACAACGGCGACGGCACGGCCACAGACGGCGCCGATGCTGATCACGCCGACAACGATGACAGCGTCCTCGAGTCGGTTATGAAGGTTTGGAAGGAATTCGACATTCGCGCGCGGCCGACGCGCGAGTGGACCGCATGGTATTATTTGACACGGATGCGCGAAAAGGCCCGCTTGGCCGATTAAAGAACATAAAGGAAACAATATTTAGTCTTCTTGGGAATTCGCAAAAGCGCGAGCGCAGTTGTTGTAGAAAACTGATGTTGCAAAACCATGTGTCTTCTACATGTTGTCGGGGCACTCGGTTTCGAAATCCTTACGACACCAAGGATTTTGAAGGATTTTGGCATGTGCGCGCGACGACGCGCGCGTGTGCACTTCGCACCAGTGCTTGCAAGGGATTCTTGCGACAGCTCGCGCACAAGGGCGTTCGAGCGACTTCGACACTGCTGGGGATCGACGATTTTGTTGTTAGGGGGAAAACAAACCTACCTCGCTTTTGGCCACCCTCGCTTCCAAGAGATACCAAACGATGCCAAACTACGGCCTGTACTGCTCAGGCCGCTTGGCGAGGAGGCGCGTGGTATGACTTGGTTTTGCCTGGAAGCGAAAGCGGGGTAGGTAATTCACGCTCCGAGTTGTGTCTGTGTGTTGTCCCCCGTGACTGCCGTCCCCCCCGAGAGAGGGCGGGCAGGGCGGCAGAGGAGAAGAGCGCCGGCCGACGGCAGGGTCACAGGGCGTCGCCGGCCGCCTGGCGGGTCGGTTGTGCCGCCGCGGGGATGGGGCCTCGGTGATCGGCCTCCTCCTCCTCCTCCTCCTCCTCCTCCTCCTCCTCCTCCTCCTCCTCCTCCTCCGCCCCGCCGCGGGGATGGGGCCTGGGTGATCGGCCTCCTCCTCCTCCTCCTCCTCCTCCTCCTCCTCCTCCGCCCCTCCTTCCGCCTCCGCCTCCTCCTCCTCCTCCTCCGCCTCCTCCTCCTCCTCCGCCTCCTCCTCCTCCCCCTCCTCCTCCCCCTCCTCCTCCTCCTCCTCCTCCTCGCGCCGGCGGGGTCGCCCGTAGTTCCGCGCGGCGCGCGGGGCCGCGCCCGGGACGCGAGGGAAGAACGGCAAGGCGATCGTTCCTCGCGCCCCCGCGGATGGCCCGGGGCCTCGCGGCCCGAAGCCATAGGCGGGGCCCGCGCGGCCTGCCCTGGTGTCAGCCTGCTCGTGCTCGTCTCAAGGGGCCCAAGGACACACAAAGAAATACACACAAATAAATGATGTCCCAGATTTCCCCACATTTTCTGGGCTTTTGTCTTCCCACCCAATTCCCATATTTTCCCATATTTTCCTGGGAGTCGCCGATTAATTGTGTCTGTGTGTGTTCCCCTCCTGATCGTCGTCCTCCCCCTGCTCTCCCACCTCTCCGTCGCTGCCTCGGTCCTTCCCCCGCAGTTCTTGTGGGTTCTCTCTCACTCTCTCTCACTCTCTCTCTCTCTCTCTCTGTCTCTCGCTCTCACTCTCACTCTCTCTGTCTCTTGTGGGTTCTCTCTCTCTCACTCTCTCTCTCTCTCTCTCTCTCTCTCTCGCTGCACGTACACTCTACGTGCTACAGGATGCGCTGCTCGCTGCCCCAGTCCGAAAGCAGTACAACCGAAACTTGCACTGGGCCTCGACGCAGCTTTCTGGATGGTTGCCCGTCATCCGCCTCAGTACTGGAAGTGTCTGAGCTGGATGGGCTCCGAGAAAATCACTCAAGACATGGGGGCAAGGGTAAATCTGGTCAAAATTGATCCCCAGAACCCCTCCTGGGGTCCATCTGGTGCAATGTCTCACCCCAGGTCCGTTTTTGTTGACGGCCTCCTCCTGCTGGCCAGAACCAGTGCTGGGCCACCTCAGACCCCCAGTTGGCCCCAAACTGGACGTGCGCGTTCGAAAATGGCTGCCCTGAAGCGCGGAGCAGAGCGGAATCCTTCCAAAAAAGAGTTGCCGCCGCACAGTGAACCAGACAGAGTACGAGCGTTTCCGCCTTCGTTGAGGGGTCCTCTCGCTCTCTGCCACTCCGCATTTTCCCACTCTCCGTCTCCCTCTTTCAGAGGAAGGAAGAAACGGCATGAACATCAACTGTCGGAGGTACGCGCGGATTTTCAGAAATCTCACCAGCCCTCTGGGGCGTGAGTGGTCCAGGAAGCTTCCTCTTGCAGCCCCCTTCTTCCCCTTCGGGGAGGGGTTGATCACTGTTCCCTATTGGTCGACACTCCCTCCCCCGGGCGACCGGCAGCCAACCAAGACCAATGAGGGCCCCCCGCACCCCCCCCCACCATCCCTGTCAACAAAATAATGTTTGAGCAGGGACCGACCGTCCCGGCATTCCTATAGTCCTACCACGAAGTGTTATTAGAACCCCAAAACATGTTCTAAGAACCAAAACAACGTTCTTAGAACATTAACCCAACGAGTCAAACCAAGACAGTCTCCGCCAGACATGTTCCGAGAACATCGCATGGGAACCACAAGAGGTTCTCGGAACATGGTTTGGTAGGGCTATAGGCGAGGCAGGACGCTTCGCCGCTGCTTTAACGTAGTCCACTTTGAAGCCAATCCGTGGGTCATGACCAGGGAGCTCCCGCACTTCGTACTGCTGTTTGGCAGGGGCGGCGGGGCTGCCTGCAGATTGCCTGCTGCGCGCAGGGCCAGCACCCTCGTCAAAAAACCATACAGAATGCACTTCGAGACAAAATCTGCATCATGCGCGGGCACCCCGCGATCGCTGTGCACGTGCTATTGACTGGGCCATGTGCAAGCCCACCAGACGCTTTGATGGCCAACACGCCACCACTGCGCACTGGTTCTCGACAAGCGTGGTGGGGGCCGACGTGTTTCCCGATGTGTACTGCCACGTGCGCAGGCGCACCTGGCATATTCTGCGCGTGCCCCGAACGTGGCGCACCTGGCGCGGTTGGAGCATACGGCACACATGACGCACATGGGTCACGCGGCGCATTTGGCGCACAAGGCGTGCCCGGCACGCTTTGGCCACAAGGGTGCCTGGCGCACCTGGCGCGCGTGGCGCGCCTGGCACGCCTGGCGCATCTCGCCCCAGCGTTGCGCACATGGGGCCTGTTCTGGTTCCCATTAGATGACCATCCAAGGACTACCGCTGGATACGCTGCGGCTCGGGTGCTACTTAGGTGTTGGGAGGGCGGGTGTGAGTGAGCGAGACGGCTTGCGGGCGGGGATGGTGTCTTGACCCCTCGATCGACCCCCTCCCCCATGGGTCTGGACGGGGCCTGTCGCGAGGTGATGGAGCGCCCAATATGGCCTCGGCGAAGCCACAATCACTCGGTTTAGTAAGGCTTTGGCCACATCTTGGCCTCGTAGGGGGGGGGGGGGGGGCTAATTTACTGCGGCCCCATCCTTTGATCGATTTCCTCCAAGATGGTCTCAAGATGGCCCCCGAGACTTCCAAGGGTAGTCCAGGACGGCCCAAGAGGTGCCAAAAAGGCCCCGTAGAGGTTCCCAAGATGCCCCTAAGAGGCTCCAAAGAAACCTCCAAGACGCCCGAAGAGGCTAGGACGAGAACGAGGAGACCGAGGAAGAAGACGACGCAGAAGAGGAAAGGAGGACGAGGAGGACGAGGAGGAGGAGGACGAGGAGAAAGAGGAGAAAGAGGACGAGGAGGAGGAGGAGAAAGAGGACGAGAAAAACGATGGGCACGAGAAGGGCGACGAAGATTACAGGGACGAGGAGGAAGAGGAAGACGAACAATAACTACAAGAAGAAATGGATATCAACGGCAACCTCTTGCTTCTCCCTATTGTTCTCCTCCACATCCGTCTCATCCTCCTTCCTCCCACATCTTCTTCATCTCGCAATTCTACTCGTACTTGCCATTGATACACATAAAGGGGTGTATATATATACACACATTCACATACCGTATACATATTTTCATGTCCGTGCCGACGTCATTCAACTGTCGTGGGATGGTGGGGTGATGCGTGGAGATACGGTAACCGTCAGAGCAGATGCAGGTAAGTGTTGGGCGGTCACGTTCGTCTGATCGGGAGGCCCAAGCCTCTCGACAGCAGCGTGATGTGACAATACTGGGCGTTTGCGCACACGTTCTCGTTTGCCGATGGCGGAAAATGTAATGAGACAAGCACGGTGCGGGCATGTGTGGACAGAGGCCCAGCATGCGTTCCACCGCTGCTTGCGAAGCTCAACGCTGATGTCACCTGCCATCTGAGACCGTGTTAGTAGATGGCGTTGGGAGCTGACTTGCGCTGTCTTTGGATGGTAGGTGGCTTTAAGTGTGAGCCGTCCTTGCAGTGTGAGTGTCATTCCAGTAGTGCCGCCTCGTGTATGTATGCACGACCCAAGCATGCGTCAGTACCTCAAATCGCGTGGTGCTCAAAGGGGGTGATAAGAAGAGGAAGAAGAAAAAGGAGAAGCAACATATCCGAACCCTGTTCATACACCTTCCCCACCTCATCACAACTCGTCCCCTCGGTATCCGTCTCCGTACCAACCTCCTCCTCCCTCCTCCTCCTCCTCCTCTCTCCTCCTCCTCCTCCTCCTCCTCCTCCTCCTCCTCCTCCTCCTCCTCCTCCTCCTCCCTCCTCCCCCTCCTCCCCTCCTCCTCCTCCTCCTCCTCCTCCTCATCCTCCTCCTCCTCCTCCTCCTCCTCCTCCTCCTCGTTCGTCCCTCCTCCTCCTCCTCCTCCTCCTCCTCCTCCTCCACCTCCTCCTCCTCCTCATCCTCCTCCTGCTCCTCCTCCACCACACCATCATCATCATCATCATCATCCTCATCCTCATCATCATCATCATCATCATCATCATCATCAGCAGCATCATCATCATCATCGCCATCATCATCCTCAGCATCATCATCATCATCATCATCATCATCATCATCATCATCATCATCATCGTCATCATCATCATCATCATCATCATCAGCATCATCATCATCAGCAGCATCAGCATAAGCATCATCAGTATCATCATCAGTATCATCATCATCATCGTCATCATCATCATCATCATCAGCAGCAGCAGCAGCGTCAGAATCAGCATCATCATCATCATCATCACCATCATCCTCATCATCATCATCATCATCATCATCATCGTCATCCTCATCATCATCATCATCATCAGCATCATCATCATCATCATCATCAGCAGCATCGCCATCATCATCCTCAGTATCATCCCCATTAGCATCAGCATCATCAGCAGCATCATCAGAATCCGCATCCTCCTCATCAGCAGCATTATCATCAGCATCATCATCACTATCGGCATCAGCATCATCACCTATCATCGTCATCATGATCATCGTCATCAGCATCAGCATCAGCATCAGCAGCATCAGCAGCAACATCAGCATCGTCTTCATCATAATCAGCAGCATCATCATCATCATCATCAGCATCATCATCATCATCATCGTCATCATCATCATCATCATCATCATCATCATCATCATCATCATCGTCTTTATCATCCTATCGTCAGCATGAGTACAATCATTGGCATTACGAGTACCACCATCATCACCACCACTGATGATGGTGGTGGTAGTGATGATGACGATGCTGATGCTGACGCTCAGAATGGTAAGTACGATGATGGTGCTGATGACGATACCGAGGACACGGATGATGGTGATGACGATGATGATGCTGACTATGC